GAGTTGGCCACACCCAGCAGGAACTCATTAGCATAACAGGCCACACCCTACAGCAGAAACTCATTAGGATTGGCTACATTGGAGGTGTGTGGCCTAACATGCAAAGGAGTTCCTGCTACAAAAAAGGCCCTGGGTTTGGACAACAAACAAGGTAAACAGAATAACAAGCAAAAGGTGGGTGTAGCTGTATGACCACACTTCTGGTAACATGGGGGTGCCGCCTAATGTGCTAATGAGTAGTGCAGTCAGGGGGTGTGGCCTAATATGCTAATGTGTTTCTGCAGCTGGGTGCGGCCTATTATGCTAATGAGTTCCTGCTGGACTTTTTCTACAAAAAGAGCCCTGGACTCCTAGCCATTCAGTTGGCATTCCAATGGACAACATTTTGTGCCCGAGATTGCTGACTGCTTCCAATGGCATAGCCTGGGCTAGGTTAACTGTGCGAAGAAAAACCCCTCCTGAACCGAGTCCAAGGAAAATAAACCGTCTATTTCCTCTGAGACACAGTGTTGTGTACTGGATAGAGTGTTGGAGTACGGCCGGAGAGGCCTAGATTCAATCCCTTCTTCAGCCTCAAAGCCCAGCGGCTGACCAGTCTCTCACCCTAAACTAAAGACACAATACGCTACTCTACGAGGTTAACCGGGAAACACCCCCTACATAACAAGGTACACCCTTTTTGTACCATACCAAGCTTCACATTAATTTTTCAGAGTGTAAGGAGTGCCCACCATCTGAAGACGCAATGTTCCCTCTAAGCTGTCGAGTCTTTTGAGCAAAAGTTCTACTTTGTGAGTTACTGGCATTAAAGTTGTGAGCGAGCGATTTGGATACTGCATAAATTAGTTTGCTCTGGAGTCATCCTTCCTGAGCGAAGACAAAAATGTGTGAGCCAGGGGCTAAAAAACTGTGAGCTAGCTCACACTAACTCAACTTAGAGGGAACACTGGATGCAACAGCAAGAACAATTAGGCTAATGATAAAATAATTAAGCCTGTGGGCAATACTCCCACTGTGGAGCAAAAATTCTACTTTGTGAGCGACGGGCAATAAAGTTGTGAGCGAGCCATTTGGCTACTGCATAAATCAGTTTGCGCTGGAGCCCCATCCCTTCCTGAGCTGAGTAAAAAATGTGTGAGCCGGAGAATAAAAAACTGTGGGCTAGCTCACACTCACTCAGCTTAGAGGGAACGCTGCCTGTGGGAGAAAATGTGGGAACCGGATGTTCTGGGAGACCTGACTGGCTGGAACACACATCAGGGGGCCAGCGCCGGCTTACCTCACCGGCACTGTGGCTGCGCTGTCGCGTCAAATGCTGCCGGTGGACCAACACGCTCGTTGGCCGGCTGCTCTGAAGAGGAAGCCGAGGGTCGATGAAGGTGGTGGTGCGGGAGTTGTGGTCGACAAAGAAAGCCTAGGGCAGCGGGGAAGGCAAGAAGAAAGAAAGGAAGAAAGCACAGCGTTATTTGCGAGCTCACACTGGGGCTTGTGGCGACTGCAAACTTGCACACGGCTTCCTGCGAGGCCCCAGGTGGTTAGAGGACCAGGAAGTCTTGAGTTCTAATGACGACAAAGCCTCGGACTTTGAAATGCCAACAGGGAACTCTGGTATCTCTCATGTTTCTCCCCCACCCCCTTTTGTAACACAAGATTACAAGGAGAAAAGAAAAGAAACACGAGAGATTGGTTCATTCTAGCCTGATCACATAAGAACACAAGAGGAGCCCTGCTGGATCGGACCCATGGTTTATCTAGTCCAGTCTCACACAGTGGCCAACCAGTTCCTCTGGAGGGCCAACAAGGGGGCATAGAGGCCGAGGCCTTCCCCTGATGTTGCCTCCTGGCACTGGTATCCAGAGGTTCACTGCCTCTGAATGTGGAGGTTCCCCTCAGTCGCCATGGCTAGCAGCCATTGATAGACTTATCCTCCATGAATCTATCGAATCCCCTTTTTAAAGCTGTTTATTCCTGTGGCCAAACAAAGCCTGAGTCCAGCGGCACCTTTAAGACCAATAAAGTTTTATTCTGGGTATAAGCTTCCATGTGCGTGCACGCTCCTTCAGATACAGACAAAGTCCAGAATAGGACTTTGTTGGTCTTAGAGGTGCCACTGAACTCAAACTCTGCTCTGCTGCTTCAAACCAAGACGACAACCCACCTGAACCTCTACTCCTGTGGCCATCGTGACAGCCTCTGGCAGCAAATCCCACAGAGCTTGGAAGCTAAGCAGGGACAGCTACTTGGATAGGAAGCCCAGCGTAGTTATGCAGAGGCAGGCAATAGCCAACCACCTCTGATCGTCTCTTGCCCTGAAAACCGTGACTCGGTTGCGACTTGAGGGCCCACTATTATTAATGGATACTATTTTTGGGCAGGGACGCACAGGAACGGAGTTCCGCCTGGCTCCCAAGTCGGCCACGCCCAGCAGGAACTCATTAGCATAATAGGCCACACCCAACAGCAGGCACGCATTAGCATATTAGGCCATGTTACCAGAAGTGTGGTCATCCAGCCACACCCACCTTTGCTTCTTATCCTGTTTACCTTGTTTGTTGTCAACACCCAGGGCTTTTTTTGTAGCAGGAACCCTTTGCATGTTAGGCCACACACCCCGAATGTAGCCAATCCTAATGAGTTTCTGCTGTTGGGTGTGGCCTATTATGCTAATGAGTTCCTGCTGGGCGTGGCCGACTTGGGAGCCAGTGGATACTACTACACCATGCTGTCTCTCAACGAAGTGTCCGAGTGTCGGGCTAGGACATGCGAGGCCCAGGTTCGAATCCCTACTCTGCTTTTCTGGGTGACCCTGGACAGTCTCGGTCTCATCTACCTTCGCAGGGTTGTTGCAAGCAGAACATGAAGGAGAGGAGAATTGCTGTAACCGGCTGTGAGGTTCCCACTGGGGAAAAATACATTCGTTAAAGTACTGGTAGACTTGCATTAACCAAAGGATGACGACCCCATTGTCCTCTTCCGTCTGTGGGTCAAACCTTCCCTTCTTCATTCGTACTACTGTTCCCTTACTTAATGGTCCAGAACTGCTGAGCAACTGGCGGTCAACAGCCTCTTACAAAGCCAAGCGATGGCAAAATTTGTAGTAGGCAGGGGTCATTTTGTAGAAAAAGAGGTGCAGCTCATTAGCATATAGCATACCTCATTAGCATAGCTTATTTGCATATGCCACCCCCCTGACATCACCAGAAGTGTGTCAGAAGGCAACACCCACCGCTCAGGCTCCACCGGACTGTTTTGGATTGCTAGCTATTGGGGGGGATGTGGACGTGCAGATCTGTCCTGGCAGAGAAGGGAGAGCTTGTACCTGAATAAACCTTGGTCATAAAGGTGCCACTGGACTGTTTTGGACCGGGGGGCCGGGGGAAGCTCTGCAACTTACCTGGCTGCTTCTTGCTCTGACTGAGGGCTGCTGGGAGCAGGGGGTGGGGCTTGTTGCATGTGCCCACCCCCTGAGCTTTTTACTGCCGGAGCTCCGCTTCTGTGCGCTCCGGCAGGAAATAACCCCTGGTAGTAGGACATCAACAAAACCAGGGTCCCCCAACCTCTTTAGGCCCTTTGCTTAAAGGCACCTTTGGAATTCTAATGCCACATGGTGTGCTCAGCCACAAAATGGCTGCCGTAAAACAGCAGCTGCGGGAGGCAGAGCCAGCCACAAGACAGCTGCTGCAGCTTATTTCGGCCACACAGTGCAGAACCTTGTGCTGCGGTGGCAGCTGCTGCCGAAGAAATGTTTTCTTAAACAGCTGCGCAGTGACTCAAAAGCCCTGTCAGGCACTTTCTAAAAAATCTGACGGGCACCAGGAAAGTTGTTGGCAAGTGCCATGCCCCCCCCCCCCCGCCGGCACGTGCCATGCCCCCCCCCCCCGGACACCACGTTGGGGACCCCTGAACACAAGAGACAATATTAAGAGCCTATTTGCATACAGCTTAACGTTAGTGGTAACCAGGGGTCATTTCCTGCAGGAGCGCACAGGAGCGGAGCTCCGGCAGTAAAGAGCCCAGGGGGCGGGCACATGCAACAAGCCCCGCCCCCTGCTCCCAGCAGCCCCCAGTCAGAGCAAGAAGCAGCCAGGTGTCAGTCACCAGCGGTCACCATGACTTCCAGGTGAACACACACTCACACACAGATGGGCATATATCAGGGCTTTTTTTGTAGAAAAAGCCCAGCAGGAACTCATTAGCGTAATAGGCCATACCCAACAGCAGGAACTCATTAGCATATCAGTCCACACCCCTGACAGCACAGCTCATTCACATATTAGGCCACACACCCCTTATACCAGAAGTGTGGTTATCCAGCCACACCCACCTTTTGCTTCTTATTCTCTTCACCTTGTTTGTTGACAAAACCCAGGGCCTTTTTTTGTAGCAGGAACTCCTTTGCATGTTAGGCCACACACCCCTAATTGTAGCCAATCCTAATGAGTTTCTGCTGTTGGGTGTGGCCTATTATGCTAATGAGTTCCTGCTGGGCGTGGCCGACTCAGGAGCCAGCCGGAACTCCGTTCCTCTGCGCTCCTGCCCAAAAATAGCCCTGCTGGGCATATTAAAAAATATTAAAAATACCCCAAGAAAATTCACAATAAGTAGAAGACATAGAAGAAGAGATTGGATTTATACCCCGCCCTTCACTCAGAGTCTCAGAGCGGCCTACAATCTCCTTTCCCTTCCCCTCCCCACAACAGACACCCTGTGAGGTAGGTGGGGCTGAGAGAGCTCTCTTGAGAACTGCCCTTGAGAGAACAGCTCTGAGAGAACATGTGACTGACCCAAGGTCACACCAACAGCTGAATGTGGAGGAGTGGGGAATCAAACCTGGTTTTCCCAGATTAGAGTCTGCACTCCTAACCACGACACCAAACTGGCTCCAGCTGTATTTGAAGACGTGACAAAACAGCTGATCGTATTTCAGCCGCTGAATCTACTTCAGGTAGATGTAATTCTGATTTATTAGACAAACGGCTTCCCTTTATGGATTACTCAGCACAGTATCATTCTTTCAAATATCATAAGACAAAGAAATGGTATAGTGAGATTTTGGCTTATCTCTAAATGTCTTTAAAATATTTGTTGGTAATTATAAAATTGCTGCTTGTTACTAGTTCTCCAAATTATAGAATTTTTAAGGAATATAACTATGTACAGTTTGACATAATTCACAAGTGTTGATGAAAAATAGTTATTTATAATAACTTTCTTATAATAAAAGTTATTAAAGAGAGCCAGTTTGGCGTAATGGTTACGTGCGCGGACTCTAATCGGGGAGAACCGGGTTTGATTCCCCACTCCTCCACATGCAGCTGCTGGAGTGACCTTGGGTCAGTCACAAGTTCTCTCAGAGCTGTTCTCTCAAGAGCAGTTCTTGTCAGAGCTCTCTCAACCCCACCTACCTCACAGAGTGTCTGTTGTGGGGAGGGGAAAGGAAAGGAGATTGTAAACTGTTCTGAGACTCCTTCAGGTAGTGAAGGGCGGGGTATAAATCCAATCTCTTCTTCATGGGCAGTGACTCATGAAAGCTCCCTCCCCTGCCACAGAGTTTGTTAGTCTTTAAGGAGCTTCTGGACTCTGGCTCCTACATATTTTGAAAATACGAGAAGGGTGGCGAATGTGACGTCCTGACCTACATGTAACCCATAACCTGAGAGAGAGGTGTAGAGGCTGGTAGGCATTCTGTGTGAGTGGAGAGGAGCGTGTCACTGCAGTGACTCACGGAGGCTCATCCCTTGCCCCAAATTTTGTTAGTCTTTAAGGTGCTCCTGGACCAGTGTTCCCTCTAAGCTGAGTTTGTGTGAGCTAGCTCACAGTTTTTTAGCCTCTGGCTCACACATTTTTGTCTCAGGTCAGGAAGGATGGCTCCAGAACAAACTAATTTATGCAGTAGCCAAATCGCTGGCTCACAACTTTAATGCCAGTAGCTCACAAAGTAGAATTTTTGCTCATAAGACTCCACAGATTACAGGGAACATTGTCCTGGACTCTTGCTCTTTTCTAATGCTACGGACAGGCTAACGCAGCAACTCATCTGGATCTCTGGCGGTCCAGTTTCACCTCTATCTGGGTCGGATGACACTTGTGCCTGCTATTTTAAAAAATAAAAACCCACTCCGTGTTTTTTTCTCATGCCGAGTGTATAATTACAACCACAACTGGGCGAGCGCACATGTGAAACGTCTGATTAAAGTTCCATGGGCACAATGTGATTACGGGTTGAAGCACGCCTGGTGTGCACTTGAGCGGGGCTATTCTAGGTAGGCCGACCGAAAGACGGAGGAGGACAAAATCGTCCTGGGAAGCCAAAGGATACGCTGCCAAAAGGCAAACGCTTCATAAGCAGCATCCTGGTGACCCAGTTACCTAAGCCAAAATAACCTCAGTCGGGGAAGAATTCTCTGCCTCCAA